CTGAGGGGTCTTCTTGATTTGAGGAGGGAAGAGGAAGAACAGGATAATAGGTGCATAGATCAACGGCAAGAGACCAACAGGTGCCATGCTATACGCCCACTGCCCCCAATTAATCTTCACACCGACAGCTTCCATGAAGTTAGCCATCATAGCATTCCAAGCACCACCAGTCAACCAGCATACAGATGAGGTTGTATTTGCAACAATCTCAACCATTATCATGTACGTGCCGATGGACTTCTCAGTACCTAGAGCCGGGTCGGATTGGAAGCCTTCCTTCAGCAAAGGCTCCAAAATTGGTAGCAAAATACCCGCACCTCTAGCAGTGGACGAGGGAATTGCCGTGGCCAATATGAACTCGCAGATACAGAAAGCATAAGCAAGTCCAAGAGTGGTAGAGCCGATATACTTTAAAATAATAAAACATAACCGCTTGCCTAAGCCGGTAGTAACGAAACCGCTTGCAATGAAGCATGCAAAGACAATTAGCCATACGGTATCGTTACCAAAACCGGATAGAATCTGCGCAGTCGTCAGAATATTAGTTAATGTACAGAAACCCAATGACACCAAGCAAATACCAGACATGGGAATAGGCTCCGTAACAGCGCCAATAATAGTGACCAAGAAGGTGACGAACACTTGCCATGTATGTGGACTCAGGTCATTTGGATGAACCCACCACAGAGCCAAGACGATGATAATCAACAAGAGTAATATAGGGATGTTGATACCAGGCCAACTCTTCCTTTGCCAGTCGAGGAACTTCCTGATAACGCTTCCTCCTGGGACCTTGTCCCACTTCGAGGGCGCTACCTTCTCTTCGACTACAACCGAATCACTTTCAGTTATAGGAAGCCCTGGTTGACCAACAGCCTGCGCAGTCTTGACAGACATCTTTACAATGAGCTTTCGCAATTAAAATCTGAGTGGAAGAAAATGCAAAAGCACCAATGACCGATCCCCACACAGCTCCATAAACAAAAAAGATACTCAAACAACACACTGATAGTCGTACGAT